ACAAAGGTGTCCAAAACTGCCATCACAGGAGCAAGATCCCGATTAAAGGCAGATCGTAGCCATTCTTATTCCATCCACTTTCCCTCAGTTTGTCTTTTGAAACGACAACTATGAATTCTCACCTGGGCACACCTACCAACTCCACCATTGTAACGACGGAACGGCACACATTGCTTCTGTAAAGTGACGTCCTTCAAATACTTGGTGGCTTTTCGGATATGCATACCCTTAATGGCCTGGGCAGTTTCACGAGTGTTCTAAGTATAAATAACATAAGCTGTGAGTTAACTGTATTTTCAGAAACCTCAATTTAAAAAGTAAACATTATCAGATTTTCAAAATATGAACATTTAGCAACAGCTAAAACCTTTCTTTGGAAGTGAGGTAAAACAATGAGGAAAAAAAAATCTGTGATTAAGAGCCAAGGACGCTTGGTTTGAAGGTGGAGAAAAATGATTCCAAAAACCATTTATTCACTATTAACATGCTCTCCATCATCTTGCAAACAATTACATGTCCCAGATCTTGGTCTGTATACTAGGTTCTCAGGTAGTTTCACCCAATTCCACAAATCCTAAATCAAAGTGCTCATTATATACTGTTGATTACCCACCAAAAGGTGGCTGCTCAGAATTGATTTATTTTCACGGTAAATCCAAAGGCGTCCTAAGAAACACATCATCGCAGCTACCTTTTTTAGGATGGTTAAGAACTCGCGGAACTCTTTTAGAGCATAACTATGATCCACATACCTTAAAGTGAACACGAAGATTTGAACCTCTTGATTTGCATGCTAGAAAATAAACAAGTTTTGGTTAACATTGAGTATCTTATTGTCTTGCTCCAAAATAAGGAATGTTTCTTGTTCACTTACATTTTGTGGGGTTTTCTGGGTCAAGTGAATAGCGAACCATTTTTAGAGGTCACCTGAAAGGGAGCAAGAACCATTCTGTTAATCTATGTTTACAACGGCATATAGTTTATACAAGTATTAAGTACTACCCCCGCGGCTGCTCAGAGAGTAATTGTTTTCATGATTAATCCAAAGGTGTCCTAAGAAACAACATCATCGCAGCCATCCTTCTCTGTCCAGTTTTCTTCCCTTTTGTAACTACCAGTGACTACAGCAGTGCTGACATCAGACTAGTGAAACGGACCTCGTCGGCCCTCTTGCCTTCTGGAAGAAAACACA